GATTTGGTAATATTGGCCCGCTTAGCTTAGTTGCAGTATAAGTCAGCGGTGGGTTCAGTGTATGTTGAAAAACCACAAATGTGCCCGAGCAGGAGTCTGCAACCGGGATTATCAGACCAACATACACTGATACGAGCGGCTAGCCATATTATTCTTTGCGAAATGACTCTTATTTTTTTTTTAATTACCCGAAGCGTTTTTATTTAAAAATGCTAATTAAACGTAAAATGCCTTAATTTATCCGTTCTTTGTATATATCATTTAATGTTCCAAGATTAAGCATTAGGGAAAAGACTTCTTGTTGTGACCTCTAATCAATGAGAGGCCTAATTAATACTGACAAGAGAAAGTAAAGGGAACGATACTTATTGAGAATGACCAGTCGTGCGAGTTCTGAAAAGATATTGAATTCGCATAGATTTGGACAGAGCCAAACCCTCCCGCCTTTGTCACAATAAATTGAATAAACGTTTGACTTGTTGTTCCAACAGTGTTATACATACTAGTTTTCAGTACTAATCAATACACTTAACTAAATAAATTTATAATTACGCTCGTTACAGGCGTTGTTTCTCAAAAGAAAACTTCACAAAAGCGCTGTAAATATTATCTCTCGATTTCAGAGTAAACTCTGCCGCCATATTTGAAGCATTGCTAAGCATGTTCGCTGGTCAGGACGACGGGACAACAAAGCCGAAATTGGTCTATAGCATTTACCCTAGAATGAGATCAGCTTTTACCAAACGGAAGCAAATTGCAGTATAAAAGTTTGGGCAAAATCAATAGTCATCTGTCAGAGAATATTCCATGAAAGGTTTCCGACCGTCTTCTATTTATCAGATTCCTTAACACCACGTAATATATTATCTCGTTCCCTTCAGAGAATCAGTAAGATTTAATCTCCCACGCTGATGCCGGGTCAGACTTATTGAATCTTATAGTCAGAGATAGACTAACGCTGTTAGAATATTCATTGTATCAGATGTTGCAAAGGGTTGAATGCCTTGTGCAGAAATTGACCGTTACTTGAACCAAAGATTTTCGTCTGATACAAAGAGTTTCAATGAAGCATTTATCTATGATCAAATGACCAGCCTAGTGGGTAACGTTTGTTAACTTTGGCAGTTGAGATAAAGGCTCTTGGTGCTTTGCCTGAGAAGGATAAATAGCTATGCTAAATGCACTGAGATACCTATTCTTTTCCATCAAATATTTTGGCATGACATTTTGACAACATACTTAATGCCCTGTGCAGTTGCTTTTGTACATAGACGTGGCTAACCTTTTTTATCAGTATATCCAGCGCTGGGAGAATGTGTAGGTAAGATGTCGATTCATGATGTTTACAAATACATTATTCCTAATAGTTCCTCTTTCGAACCCAGTTTATTGATTCAATTTTCAAAGCACCCGGCGTTTTTATTGCAACCCGTAATTTGTTAAGTGTTATGGTCTAGGTTAGGACCAAGGAAGAACAACACGAACACAAGAGTAGAAATAACGAAGGTATATTACACGAAATAATAATACAAGATGTGGAAGGTGTAAGTATCACTGCCAGTCTGGTTCGGAGTGAACTACTATCGGCTTGACTCGATTCGGTATTTACTTGCCCCACCACGAGGGAAAGATGTGGCACAAGGCCGAGTTTTACGTGGGTCTCCAAGCCCGTAGGCTCGGCCAGAAAATGCCCGTAGAAACTGTAAAAACAGAATCGGGTTGGTCAACCTCCCCGAACGAGGAGCCTCGTCCGGGTTCCTCTCTGCTGAGACGCAGAGAGTTCGACCGTCAAGCCGAGAAGCTCGGCTTGAATCGGTATCTAGCCACCCCCCAAGAGGGTTGCATGTGGCACAAGGCCGAGTTTAACGTGGGTTTCCCGAGCCCGTAGGCTCGGCCAAAAAATGCCCGTAGAACCCGTATAAACGGGATCGGGTTGGTCAACCCCCCCGAACGAGACTCTGCCCTTCGGCGGAGCCTCGTCCCGGTTCCAACTTAGTCTTCGGGAAGACTTAAAACAGGTAGTGGTGTGTTTGTATGATTACTTTTGATGATTTGTTTTTCTAACACCTATGACATCACTAGCGTTATATGGATAAAGTTCTTCTTAGCGTGTGGGCTGTACTTACCAAGACAATAGTTTTGTATTTCTCTTAAGCTGGGATTTCCCAAGATATTTGTGTTCCTTTTTTATCATTCCAAGCGCTAATGCTATAACTGATACCATTCTTCTTTTCAATGTCCACTTTTTCTCAATATCAATTTACAAGTCTTTATTCTTCGATATTCTTTCAAATTCCTTGGTTGCTATGTTACAATCTGCTGGGCAATCCATATCAATTAGTAGACAAGTTTTTTTTCTTATCGGTTTCTGATAATTATGTCCGGCCTATTATTATTATTTTTATTTTTATTTTTATTTTCTTTGATTTCTGGCGTTTACACATTTCTTTCCGGGTCCCGCCCAGGGGCCTAAGGTTAGAAATGGCGTCATGACACTTTC